GTAGAGAGAGAGAGAGAGAGAGAGAGAGAGAGAGAGAGAGAGATGACTGACGGACAGACAGATTTCCATCTCCTTGCTGCCCAATGGATGGCTGATGCTGTCAGTGTTGACATAGAATATTAACTATTTGGAAAGTTAGGAAGGCCAGTTACAACCCTTCCTAAAATGTTTTTGGCGCTTACAGCACTATGTGTGTGCATGTGTTTGTCTGTGTTTGTGTGCATGTATATGTATATATGTCTGTATGTTTGGGTGTATATGTGCATGTGTGTGTGCATGCATGTGTATGTGTATACACAGACATACATAAATACAGAAAGAGAGAGACAGACTGCATGTACAAACTTCATTATATTTTAGTTACATTTATACCATGCTCTATCCCCCCCCCTCCAGGATCTCAGAGCTGCTTACATTCCCAGGTAGTCTCTTTGCTTCAGCATTTGAATACAGTATTTACTCCAGTGCAAGACTAAGTTTTTTCCAGGTATGCCATAAAAAAGAGGGAGTCATCTTATATTTGCATACAAGTTATAATATTTTTCTTGGTGTATAACTTTTTTTAGGAGGTCGTCTTACATTCAGGGTCACCTTCCATTGAAGTAAATATGGTACTATTATGCATACCATTCTCTCAGTCTGATTGTAATAGAGATAAGCTGAAGTATGTTGGTTCAAACTACCTTTGGACCAGTTTACCCATGTAAATATAACACTTGATTTCTCATTACCTGATGACCGTTACAACGTTACTGTTGTTATAATTATCAATTCTTGTGCATGCATGTACAAACTGGCCTCCCGCACTGTCATTTTTGACACTCTTTTGTCCAATTGCTTTGCCCCCCCCCTTTCCACATGTGTTTTGCTCCCTCTGGGACTACTAGAGAGAGCAAAACACATTGGGGGGGGGGGACCCCTGAAGCAATAGGGACAAACAAGTGAAAAAATGACAATGCGGAAGTTTAAAAACAAAACCAAAAAACTTTGGTTTAATGGGTTTTGGACCAGTTTCACTAGTTGTGTGAAGTTATTGAAAACTTCTTATATTTACATTGGTGTTTCTTTATGCACCCTGAAAGTTTTTTCTTAAGCAGTCTTTTCAGTAATTGTGTAGATACGATCAAAAAGCATGCCAGATATGTATGAAGTGTTAACAGAATAAAATGGGTTCCTTGCCTCTAAGGATCTCTGCTTTCCCCACATCTTTGTCAATATCAAGCTGGTGTATTCCTATGAGAACAAAATACACATGAAGTAAGAGTAGGAAGACGAAAAAGGTTAAGCTGCATACATTTTACACCTGCTGTTCTCTTTTCCCATTCCCTACATTCTTACAGGCTTGTGGCATTTTCCTGTCTACTGTCTTTCCCCAGACCATGAACACTGAGGCTTTCCCCCCTTTAGATTCATTTCATTGCAAAGGTAACTGCTTTAGAAATGTATCTGAAGTTTGTAGATGCCAAAGCTACGGACTGCTTCACACATTACAAAAAGTTAGCATACACCCACTTCAGCTGTAATATACAAAGTGGTCTTTAGTTAAAATACTGCTTACAAAATATCAGGCATATCTAAAGATTTTCTTGGTACTGTCCTCTGCTCTATTCAACAGCTTTTATTTAGGCCTTCATACTTCAAATTCAAAGACTGACTTTAGACACAACGAAACTAACATGAGATAATGATTACTTTGCTAAGCACATTTTGACTGGATTGTGTGTATCATGTTTTGGGTCAGTTTTGTAGAGTATATTGAAAAATAGCTGAAATGGAAAACAGAAATATGATGAGTAGGTCAGGCTTTTTTTTTTTTTTTTTTAAGTTTGTACTCCAGTTCTAAGGAATTATCCACATATGAAAATGCATTTGGCATTACACCTGAAATTCTTTTACACGATGTGCTAACTTCATAAAAGACAAATCCCTGTGTTTTTTTAACATGCACTTATTTCAAGTTTCTCATGAAATAAAATGTTACACACACACACATATCCATGAGCAGTTATGGGGAAGCAGTTTATCTGCAGCTTGATTCCCTAAGGATGGCTGATTCAAGCATGGTATGAGAGCCATTCTCTGCCAACCTCTAACAAAATGCTCAAAAAACTCCTGAAGGATGTTCGTTGTACCCGGTTATTTGGCCCCTTTGGGGAGGGGAAGGGACAGGAGATTATAAGCTGCTCTGAGACACCTTTGGGTAGTGAAGGGCAGGATATAAATCTAATCTCTTCTTCTTCTTCTTTGTCCTGACACATCTGGCATTGATGACACATCTGGGGGGTGAGTATCTCTGCACATACGGCTGTGCAGGCAGTGATAAGCAAGAAGTCCCAGCCAAGTTTGGAGCCACGGTGGATCTGTCCAAAAGGCATCTACCTAGTGCAGCCTGCCCTCAAAATCATCAGATTATTGGACTAAGCAGTGATGTAGATCAACCATTTAATTAATTTAAACAATTTATTTCAATAAATAAAACTAGTTGAATCCATATTCTGTTGTCTCATATAATTGGGGAGGGGGGGTGAGCCAGGGCAACATTCATTTTTTGCAAGAATGAAAACAGCAGGTTTGATTTCAGCCATCTATTTTAATTTTTAAAAATGTTTTGCAAACTCTTAATGCTGGAAGCCTTTAGAAGGTGACCATGGGTAATTCAAGTGAAATTAAAGTTTAATACAGTATTTAGCCTTACCTGACAAAGTCCAAAATTACTCCTCTAGAGTAATGAGCTGCAAGAAAATTGCAAGTTTGCTTGGATTTTCTTTGATAAGCACATTCAATGGTGGCAAAAAGTTTTCTTTATCTTCTAAGAATTGCTGTGAGGATTAGGCAATGTTGCATCTTCTTAAACCCTATGTGGATTTGAAGACTAGTTCTCATGCTTATTACATCCAAACTGGATTAATCTAATTCTTCCTCTGTAGCTTTCCAATACTGCTGCTGCAAAAAACTGCAGTTCAGTCCAAAAATGAAAGCAAAAATTATCTTTTATACCCAAAGGAACCAGGCACATTTCCCCAACTCAAAATTCTCTTCAGCTAACATTGTCCTCGACAAATGATTTTAAAATGGAATCTTATGTCTCTTAGAGAGCAGTCTTAAGCAGAACCGCTCAGAATCCTACTCAGATCTATTCAGTGGGGCTTACTCCCATAAAAGTGTTTTTAGGATGGCATTGTTAAGGAAATGACTGCTAAAATGAGCATTATATTATGGGATTTCAGCAGCAATGAAAAGAGATGTGTTACTAAAAATCATAAGATGAGCTGCTTCTGTACAAATTATCTTTTACTAGGAGAAAGGCCCATTGTGGGAAGAAATACAACAAGCTCTAGAAGGAAGCTCCAGGTGAGTGTCCCGATTGTGGCTGGTGGGGCAGCAGAGGGAAGGGGAAAATAGAGGGAGGCAGGCCATGTTTATTTCCTTCTGCTTAGCTATAAGGCAGGGCTATCTCCAGTCATTTTGCTGCCCCAAGTGGTTAGTATGGGATGACAGCCTCATGGTAACAGGTATGGTTCCCTCCACCCCTGACTTACGTTGATTTGGGGCTATGCAGTGGCAGCTAAGGTAGAAAAGCACCTCCTCCTATGCCATGTCTTCTGGGTTCCAAGGGTCTGGAAAGCAGTTCCATAGCCAGTTACAGGGTTACCAACTGTGGGTTGGGAAATACCTGTACATTTGAGGGGTAGAGCCTGGGGTGGGCAGGGGTGTAGAGGGACCTCAGCAGGGTATAATACCATAGAGTCCACTGGCCAAAGCAGCCATTGTCTCCAGGAGAACTGATCTTGGAGATCTCCAGGTGCTGCCTGGAGACTGGCAATACTAAGGGGAAGGCCAGACTTGTAGATTTGAGGGGTAGAGCCTGGGGAGGGCAGAGTTTGGGGTGCAGAGGGATCTCAGCAGGGTATAATTTCATAGAGTCCACTGCCTAAAGCAGCCATTTTCTCCAGGAGAGCTGATCTTGGAGATCTCCAGGTGCTGCCTGGAGGCTGGCAATACTAAGGGGAGAGCCTTAGTATTTGAGGGGTAGAGCCTGGGGAGGGCAGGGTTTGGGGTGTGGAGGGACCTCAGCAGGGTATAATTCCAGAATCCACTGCCTAAAGCAGCCATTCCCTCCAGGATAACTGATCTTGGAGATCTCCAGGTGCTGCCTGGAGACTGGCAATACTAAGGGGAGGGCCAGACCCGTAGATTTCAGGGGTAGAGCCTGGGGAGGGCAAGGTTTGGGGTGCAGAGGGACCTCAGCAGGGTATAATGCCATGGAGTCCACTGCCCAAAGCAGCCATTGTAATAGCTGGGAAATTTTCTGTAGGGGAAATGATGTGCTGTGGCTGGGGAACACAGTGATTTGTGGGAGATCTCCAGGCCCCAAAGGGAGATTGACAATTCCAGTGACCGTTTAAGGGAAAATTGGGATATGTATTTTGCCTCAGGACACATTCAATGACTCGCAACAACAAACTGTTTAGAATATTAGAGCCGCATATGCAAATGATCTCTGTGTTCTGACTGGCTACTGGGGGGAGAGGAACAGCAAACTGTTTAGAATATTGGAGGTGAGACTCAGGCAACGCAGCCAGTGCATAGGGACAGCTTCTGTGTGACAGATCAGGGAGTGATTTGGGAGTGTGTGGAATGTTCAGGAAAGTCCATGACCAAAACAGAATTATATATAAGGAGAGATATGTAAGGGGCCCAGTCAAGGAAAAATTACTCATTAATAATCAGGTTGGGTTGAGAGGTTTTATGTTTCTCCTGAAAACCTCAAGAGATGGATTTATCATAGCCAGTGAAACGTATTCAATCCATTTAAATTTTAACATGTTTTTATTATAAATAGTTAAGCTGTATGATTATTATAGGTGTCATGTTTCTTTTCATATCATAGCATGATATATTCTTTATGGAGCTATGGACAAATCTGTCATTTCTGTTTTGCTAGAATCAAAAGTGCAGGGCTGCGGGTGGAGTGGGGGGAGTAAGTATTCAAAATTCCCAGGGTCCAGTTTGCTCTGGGATTCAGGAAGCCAGGCAGCTTACTTGCTTCATTTTGCTTTCTTCAGAGAACAAGGCAGCAGCAAGTGTAGTGCCTGCTGGTCAGGGCTTAATTCAGGGCTTCAAAAACAAGCCTCTCTAGGAGTCCATATTTGCTCACTTTAACCCTAGCTTGACTAGAAATCATATTAGAAAGGAACCTATCTGGCCTAAAGCAGCTTCATATATTGTGCATGTTTAACTGTGTATTTCCTTAACAGTTATATAAAGGGGGGAGGGGAGGTAGAGGAAATTTTTAACAATGGCCCTATGACAGATCTTGGCAGCCCTGCAAAAAGCATCTATGTTTCAGTTTAGTTTCAAGTGCTCCATCAAAACACTTTTCATTTAAGCCTTTAAATCATGGCCATAACTGACAGCTATACAAAACCCTTCACAGACTGGTTTTTAATGCTTCAGAATCAGAGCCTTGGACACAAGATAAGCTGTGGAACACCTAATTGTTTGATTCCATTTCCAGAAGCTCTCTTACATGAATGAGCTAATGCTTAGCAGGACCCATTTAGACAATACTTACATGAAAGGTCACCATAACCCACACAGACAGTAACAGCCTGGCTTTGCCTCCAGCCTTGCCTGAAGTCACATGACCTGGGGCCAGGATGGCTTAAAGAGAGCCTATAAAAACAAGCTCCAGCTAAACTGATTATGATTAGTGACCAACACAGAAAAGGCCTTGGAAAGTGTATATTCCCTTCCCCCACTCATGTCATTTTCTTAACCTCAGAGGTCTCTTCAGTACTAGGGTTGCCAACTCTGGGTTGGGGAATTCCTGTAAATTTGTAGTGGAGCCCAGGGAGAGCGGGGGTTGGGAACGACCTCATTTGGGGTTATAATACCATAGAATCTGCACTCCAAAGCAGCCATTTTCTCCAGGAGAACTGAACTCTGTTGTCTAGAGACAAGTTGTAATTCTAAGATGTATCAAAGCCCCACCTGGTTAGCAACCCTATGTGATATTTAATTAGGTAGCAAGCTGTATATTCTCCCCAATGAGGCAAATAGTGGATAAAGGAGCCATTTGAGGTGAGGAAAAATGGCAGGAGGGAGAAAGTTAAATCCCCTCTCATTTGCCCCCATCCAATTAGCTAGAGTCCAGTCATGGACCTTTTGGCATCACATCTGGTTCGACATAAGCTTTAGGGTCAACAAAGAGCTTTCCTACTCCTAAGACT